GGATCATCCCTCTGCGAGGTGTTCTCGGCGACTTGGGCGGCTGCTTCTCCCTCGGCTCTCATCTGCCGCTTCCGTTTATCCAACAGCTTCTGTTTACGAGTCTTAGTAGGCTGGAATGAGCCTTCTTCTACGACTGTTGTTTCTCCGAACATACTATGGCCTTCGTAGTAAGATGCACTGCGAGAAGGAGGGTTGACTAGGGTAGTCAATTATACAAACTGATATAGAAAACACTGATTCATCTATGCCCATCAGGAAAGCCACCATTCTACCCATCTCCCTCTAGATGTCACTCAACGCATTTAAGACGAGCCAAGAGCTGAGATGGATGAGTGTCCCACACCTCAACGATCTCCGAGATCGGATCTCGAATATCCTATCAACGTTGGTATCAAGAGTGTCTCAGCTCAGGATCGACCAAGATACTCGACAGATGCTAGACCGAGCATTAGAGAGTTCAAATGGTCAAACGACCAGTTTTATTTTCTCGCCGGATCTACTATAGTTCGATCCATGCGAGTCACGCCCTGGAGGCTTGCACAGCTAGCGAGAAGCAGCATTATCCCGACGGGTCGCTCCAGAGAGAGTCAGACAGTCGAGTCATTCGGCACGGACAGATGCGGGGGTTACGGAGTGATTTTGAACTCTCGCGCGCCTATGTGATCGATTACCACAGTTGTTAGTATTATTATCTTCTTCTGTGTCTGTGTGTTGTGCCAGTGGCTCGACCATTGTGCCACATTGTTTCCTTGTCCCCCAATTTTCGGTCCGAACACAATTGTCCCTGCGTGCTAAGGTGCTGCAAAGCTAGAGCTAGTAGTAGCTCATACGTAGTTCGTAATTACAGTTATAAGTTGTAACGTAACGTATTCCGATACGTTCTACTCTATTGTACGTCCGCTCTCGTACAAGGTTATCTCTGCTCACTTGTCGTGTATTGAGTTCCATTATTAGGAGGTTACTATCCCTACATAATTTGGTAGCAGCTCCTTGTTCTATTCGACAACTTTCACTCGAACGACATTTGCTTGGTTATGGCTGGTGACAACGTTAACAACAATTCCGATACTGATCATGATGGTACTATTCCCCGTGACGAGGTGGATCCTCTGGTGGTGAACACTAATGCATCTTCGGCTGCTTCAAGTACTAATAATGATGCTATGATCAACGTGCCTAGTAGAGGTCCAGCGGCACAGACTGGTGCGACGACATCAACATCAACGACTAACAACTTTAGCGCCACTCCTAACATCCAGACGACTTCTTCAACAAGCTCTCCGGTTGTGGTGTCTACGGCTTCCAGTGAGTCTATTCTCCCTGTTAGGACGAAGCGACTCTTTGTGCCCGTTCCCGAGAAGTTTGCTAATAAGCCAACGGACAATATACGTGATTGGTTTGAAGCTTATGAGCTCTATACCTACGGTAATCTCTATGATGACCGTGCTCGTGCCCGTTTTCTGGGTGCATTCCTTACTGGTGATTCTGCTAATGTTTGGAAGACCCAATGCTCTAAGGTTAATTATGAAGCTGACAAGGCAATTCTCATTAAGACTTTTGAGAAGTGTCGGCTCCCTGATGAAGCCTGGAGTCGATTTGATAATTATCAGTGGGATCGTATCCAACCATTGTCCGTTTATGCAGCTGCTCAGTCGAGATATTTGAACGAGTACAACGACTTGCTGAAGCCTGATTGTCGACTTTCACTACCTGCCAGGGAGACTCTTTTGGTTGAGAAGTTATCTAAGTTGGCTACAGGCGCGGCGAAGGCTGAGATTCGTCGAGCCCGTCCTCGGAGTGCTGCCGATGTTTGTGACCTTCTGGGTGCCTATGTTGACAACAGTGATCAGACTGGCATTAATGCTGTCCGTTCTATAGAACCTAAGTTAGATGCCAGCATCGAGATGTTATCCAAGCTACTTGGTGCCTTTGAGGGTGCCCAGTCGCGACAAGTTGAGCAGTTTGATCGACTTTGCGCCATTTTGGGTAATCCACAGCCAAAAGGCCAACCTAATGGACAAGTAGTACAAAATGGTCAACAACGACGACGAGGTGTTCGTAGATGTGGTATTTGTTCTGGTCCTCATCTAACTCTGGAGTGCTTCCACAAGAAGTTTACTGTTGGCTGTGCTATCTGTGGGAACACTGAGCACTTCGCCCGTAATTGCCCGTTGCGTACTACCTTCTTGGCTGGTCTACAAGGTAACCCGCCTTCCCCGCCGGGAAACTAGTTCGACGACCGGATTGCGGCTCCCGGTCGTCGGCACCGATATCTTTCTGTACTTTTGGCGAGTCTAATGGTCCTTTTATTTTTGCCCGTGTAAATGCTGGAGATGCCCGTTCTCCGGTTATCAGGGCTCTGATCGACTCTGGTGCTCGTATTACGGTTGTTCCTAAAAGGAATCTACCTAAGGGTACTCGACTACAACCTGTACTTACTCATGCCGGCTCCGCAGATCCCGGCAATCCTATTCTGCTATTGGGCTCTGCCATTGTAAGATTAACGTTGTATGATTCGCCTAATGTAGGCAATGGTAGTAACGTTTACTCCGACTTCGTGCCGCAGGCCGGTAGTAACTGTGTAAGTTTTGAATTTAAGGTTTATGTGGTAGAAGATTTAATTTGTGATATGTTGTTGGGCTTCGACTTCCTTTGGCATTATGGTTTGTCCTTACAAATGGTTGAAGGTTTTGTCCGTTTGGTTGGTACTCGTGACCCTCGGGTGGGTCGGTATCGTGAACCTCTACCGGAACCTGATGCAAGGAGTGTGAGTGTGTCGTTGCCCTTCGCTCTACTTGGAGCAACTGGTTCTGCGGGTGTACTACCCGTCCCTCCGACTATCTGCCCTAGTGAAGCACAGGGTGTATGTACCCGTAATGCTTCTACCCAGACTACTGGTATGATTGATGAGTCTGTTCAAACGGTACCATCCACATCTAGCATAAGTTCTTCGGAGACTGTCCCCAAGAACCCCGTTCGTTGTGCCAGAACTTGTGAAAGTCCGCCTGATGTTGTGATTGGTAATGGAGCTAGTTCTCTATACTCTCTTTGCCGATACTCTGATGATGTTTACTCTCACCTTGGTTTTGGTGATGGTGATGGTGATGAAAGTCCTTCCCTGGCTCAGCGTAGGGTTTTCGCTGACGCTGGGGCTCCTATCTGTTTGCTGCAATCCCCTGATCCGTATGAATTTTATGATGACCCTAAGAAAGGCGGACATACTGGTTTTGAACAATGGCCTGCAGAAGACCAAGAGATCTACGACGAGTTCGAGAATGATGACATAGGTGGTAATTTGGACGACTATGCGGTTCCATTACTGCCCGGTCCTGAGGAACCTGACGTTGTATTACCCAAGCTCCCGGTGTCTGACCGCCCCGAACTTTGCTCTATTCAAGATCTTTGCAATGAGTTCTCGGAGTTGTTCAACAACAAGATCGGGTTTTGTCCGTTGGTCACTCACGACATAAAGACCTTTGATGAGCAGCCGATGGCGCAGCGTCCGAGACGCGTACCACATAAGTGGCAAGCTGACATACGAGGCCAGATTGATGATATGTTGAGAGAAGGGATTATTCGGCCAAGTATGAGTCCGTGGCGTTCACCTTGTGTCTACGTTAAGAAGAAGACTGGTGGTGTCC